ACGGGCGCGCCCGTCTTGCGCTCGCGGCGCTTGCCGCTGCCGCTGCTGCTGCCCTTCGTGTTGGCATTCCCCATCCTCCTGTCGCTGGTGGTCTATTGACTTGTGGACAATCCCTGCAGAGCGGCCGGATCCGAGCGAAATTTAATAATATATTTTCGCGGTGCAACCAATTAAAGATTCGACGCTTTTAAAATTAAATGATAGGCCTTTCGCCACCTATTACACCAAGCATTGTATGCAATAAAATACATGCTTCCTGCACATCGCTGCGACACGCCACTGTATTTTAATGCCGCTTTGCGTCCATTTTAAAAGAATTAAGACCAAGATGTTGTGTGGGTTGTAGATCGTTGCGTAGGGGCCCCTACGTTTTGTTTAGGGGGACCCTTTCCGTATGGCATACAAAGACCTCGTGCAATGGGACTGCGATCCGCGACGAATCCAGGAGGTGGGGCCCCTCATTTCGGACCTCAGCTGGCGCCACAGGTTCATCATCAACTCGGCTCTCGCACACGAGACGTGGTAATGGAACCCGCCCGACGCGGTCAAGCTCATGCGTGCACTTGCGTGAGAGGAGCGTCGGAGTACTTTACCAGGCTACGGACTAGACTGAGATCGTTTCCATTTTGGAGCTCAAAGTCAAAATGGCTAAAAATGGATCAAAAGAGGCTCCCAAACGTCTTTTTTACATCTAAAACTTGAGGAACAGCCGGTGCTGCCGGAATCATTGCAGAAGCGACTGCATGTGCCGACGCTGCTGCACAACTGCTGATGCCGAGGGCTGGTCCGGCGCCGTCGGCGTACACGTAATCGCTCGCTGCGCCAGGAGCGGTCTTCAAAGATCCAAGTCGGGGCTTCGTATCCGGAAACATCCGGATCGGATGCCATTCGCGTTTTGACTTCGCGGTGGCCAGGGACGAAGTGGCACGATGTCGGTCTCGGAGCGCGAGCAGCTGAGCTCGGCGTACGACATGGCGATCGAAGCCAGCACGGGCGGCCGCGGTGCGCCCGCGGAAGAGGTCTACTACGGCTTTGGCGTCTTCATGGGCATCTCGGTGAAGAAGCTCAAGGAGCTTCGCGAAGAGATGCAGAAGCGCAACAACTCGTCGCGCTTTGAGACGTTCCATGGCGACGGCAACGAAGCCGCTCACGACAACGAGGAGACTGAAGACGATGAAGACATGTACGAGGCCGAGCCGCCCAAGGCCAAGACGCCGCCTCGTGTCGAGAAGAAGGTCATGGAACGCCGAACGAGCGAGCGCCGCGCGGCCAAGAAAGATGCAGCGCGCCCCGTTGCGAACGCACGCGAGATTGCGGCGCCGGCGCCTGCCGCAGCTGTGAACATGCCTGTCTACAGTGCGCCGCCGCCGCAACAACAACAACAGCCGCCGGCCAAGCCCATGCACATGCCGGTGTACAGCATGCCATCGCACGCGCCGTCGCTGACCAAGCCGATCGAGAAGACGCCGTACACGATGGATCACATGCCGCAGTCGTCGCAGATGCCACCGCCGTTGAACCCACCCGCTTCGTACCCCGGTGCACAGCATGGAATGCAGCATTCTGTCCCGCCGCCGTCGTACCAATCCACCAACGGGTATGCGCCACCACCGCATGCCATGATGCCGCCGCAGCAGCAAGCGCCGCAGCAGCAGCACCCGTCGATGCAGTATGCGCCGCCGCAACCGCAACCGCAGCAGCATGTGCAATACATGCAGCAGCCACAGCAGCCGCCGCAGTACGGCGCGCCGTACCACCAGTCGTACCAGCCACCGCCGCAGCAGCAGCAGGTGCCACCCGCGCCCGTGTACAGCCAAATGCCGTCGGTGCCGTCCATGCACGACCGCCAGGGACCGCCGCCGCCCATGCAACACATGCAGCAGCACCACCAAGCGTATGGCAACCCGCCACCGATGCAGCCGCCGCCGATGCAGTCGCAGTCGCCGTACCAGCAAACGGGGTACCAGCACAACCAGGTGCCAGCGGCGTATGCCCCGCCACCGATGACTGCACCGGGGCACGAATCGCAGCAGCCCTACGGCAACCAGATCCCGTCCCCGGCACCGCAAGGCGGGCTCGGGCGCCTGCTGCCGCCGCCGGCGTCGCAGGGCATCCCGTCGCTCAGTGGATTTGGCTCCAAGCCGCTACCGTCGCTCGGATTTCCGTCGGCGCAACCGCAGTATGTGCCATCGAACGCGCCACCGCAAGGCTACTACCACCAGCCGCCACCGCCGCAGCAGCAGTCGTACCAGCAGTCGTACCAGCCGCCGCCGTCGCACCACCACCAACAGCAGCAGCAGCAGCAGCAGCACCCGCAGTATGCGCAACACCAAAACAACTACCCGCCCCACCAGTACGCGCCGCACCAAATGCAACAGCAGCAACAACAACAACAACAACAACAGCAAGCGCCCAACGCTCCAGGCGCGCTGCCGTCGGTTGCCGACCTCTCCAAACGATCGTCCATGAGCTTTATTTTAGACTAACTCGTCGTTCTCCAGGTCGGGCACTAACTATGTTTACACTACAACGAGTACAGTCGCGTAGACCGTCCAGTGCCACTCGGTTTTTGTGTTGCACGCCACGGCGACGACAACAGCATGCAGCGCCTTTCCACCACCATTGAATAGATCGACCGATCGATCGATACTGTAGATAGATAGATAGATAGATAGATAGATAGATAGATAGGTCGGACGTGCAGCTACATCCCTCGTTGATGCGGTTAGGGTTCACAGCGTTTACAAACGGTTTCAGGCGGGCAGCGCGATGGCCTCGTACAAGGGGCCGCTTGCGACGCCACCGGTGCGCATTGGGCGCGAGGTGCGCCACACGACGGGCGGCCGACCGGCGACGTCACGGCGCGCCGACCTCGCGTGGCTCGCACCCACGCGGCCCTTCTCGGCAGGCGCCAATTCTTGCGCGACGCCGCCGCCACTCGCGCCGCGCCGACCAGCGACCGCGCGCTGCGAGTCCATGGAGGAGCGCATTGGCCGGCACATGATGCCGGACAGCGCCACGGCCATCGCCGAGGCGGCGCTCCGCGAGGCGCACCACGTCAAGGACGTCGATCCACTCTGCGGCGGCACGGTCGAGATCCGGCCGCTGCACGCTGTCTTACCCCGGGGCACGCGCAACGCCGACTTTTACCGCGCCCGCGGTACGAAGGATGCTTGTGTCTCTGGCGCGCTCACGAGGCGTAGGGTACCAGCACCGCATGCAGGGCAACTTTGAGCACGCGATCGAGTTCGTTTTTGGCCTTCACGCATCCTTTTCACCGCTTTTTTTCATAGCGACTACCACAGCGCGCTCAAGACGTCACCGCGCGACTTCAAAACCCTCTTTAGCCTCGGGATTGCGGTGCGTCCGGAGCTAGGATATCCGAATGCAACGTGTCGGTAGTGCGAGCGGCTCGGGCGGCTTCACGACGCGCTCGCCGCGTACGCCAAAGCCGCCAGCGTCTCGCCACGCAATGCGTTCGTGCACTACAACACGGGCATTTGCTACACCGTACTACATGTCTCCTATCCTAGACCTGCCATCGTCGAACCTGGGAATAGCTCTGCGAAGAGTACACACGCGCGATCCAGAGCTTCTCGGTCGCGATCGAGCTCGATGCGAAAAACGTCGCCTTCTACAAGGGCCGCGCGCATGCCTACCGCAAGGCCGGGCGGTACACGGACGCGGCGAAGGACTACTCGACCATCAATTTTCTCTCGGTACGTCGACGTCAGAAGAGCCTCTCGTGTGGATGAGCAAGGTCGTAGAACGAGCAGCACGACGGCGCCAAGGACGAGGTGCGCTTGCTGTCGACGCGCAATGTGCAAGCTTGGCTCGACGTAGGCGCCAGAGCTCCAGCTGTACCACGCCAAAGGCGGCATATCCTTTTTACACAAGTCAATATTTGACACCATTGACGTGGGACCTACGACATGTTGTGCACCGCGAATGCGCCATGTACTACTACGACGACAAGCCGATCTTTACGTCGCGCCCAGCGCCAACGTTGATTGCGTCGACCTTGCAGCAGAACGATCAGTCCATGTGCTACAAGGTACACGACCTACTGCGATTTCGTAGCCTCAGAAAGGACGCGAGATTGGCCGGATCCCGCCGCATTTGCGCACGGAAGAAGATCTGCAGCTGCTCATGGACAAGACGTACGTGTTTCCCACGTGCCGCGGCCTCCCCCGCGCCGTAATGATGATATGCTACGACATGCATCGGAGAGATATATCATTTCTGATAGTTGCACCAAACGCTGTGCCGCGAGCTCGTGTCGGTGACCGTGTCGCCGCACACAGTGCTCTTCAAAGAAGGCGACAACGGCCACATGCTCTTCTTCCTCCTCCACGGCAAAGTCGAACTCTTCAAGCTGCCCATGGTCAAAGTCGGCGACGATGCGACGACCAGCCAACTCGGCTCGATCGAATCGCAGCTCGCGGCGTTTGAGCCGAGCGCACTGCACCGGGAAAGCACGTTCTTGGACGCAGTGGATCGCATGCTCGAAGTGCCGGCAACGCCACTCTACACACTGCACACGGGCAGCGAGTTTGGCACCCACGGCCGCTTCCGCCAACTTCCACGGTGCGAATTTCATGGGCTTCCTCATCGTCGTGACGGCATGCGGCAGGGCGGTGAATGCCGTGGCCACCGACGCCTGCGAGCTGCTCATGCTGCCGTGGTCGGTCCTCGACGCACTCGAACTGGCGCACGCCGAGATGGAGGTGCGCCCCCTCGTCCACTCTACCGTTCAACATGCGAGTACAATGCGCAGTGCTCCAACGTGGCCACGTTTCTTGGGAAGCTCCCGATCTTTAAATACGTGTCGTCGTCGCAGCTGCGCATCTTGGCCCTCAAGGTACACATGTCTTATAATCTATGCGACACGCCATTGCGTGTCGTACTTTAGACAAAATGGATCAAAGTACCGAGCGCCACGGTCCGTCGTCCATTGCACGCGACTGCTGTAACTATGCATTCGTAGGTGGTCCAGGTGTCGGGCCAGCACCACGAAGGTCTCCTCGTCGTTCGCAGCGGCACGTGCAACCTCGTGCGACACGACCTCCTCACGGCCACGGGGCGTCGCCTCAGCAGTCCTCGCCTCGCTTCCCATCCTACTACCAACAACACCGCTGCCAGCAACAACAATCTCAAGCTCGCACCGCTCGCCAAAGGCAGGCGCACCGAACAGCACGCGCGGCAGGCGTACCTCCAAATGGAGCACGAAGACGACCCGCTGCATTTTGTGTACGCCAACAGCACGCTCTCGTCGCACGTGCTCTCGACCAATGACACGGCCGACGCGGTTCTGCACGCAGAGCTCCACGCGCGGGACTTTGTCGGCGAGCGCTCGTTTCTGAGCAACGAAGGCAACGAAAAGTCGTTTGCCAAGTACGGCCTCGTCACGAGCTCGTGCGCCGAGCTCCTCTTCATCCGCAAGGTAGTAGACATCATCGTCCTATGCTTCCATGGACAATCTGTCCACACTGACAAAGTCACTTTATGGGTAGGCCGATTTCTTCACCGAGACGTCGTACGGCACCCGGCAGCGCGTGCGCACCAACATTCAAAAACTCAACGACGACGCGGCGGCCCGCGGCACGGCGGCCCGCGACCCGAAAGACTGGGCACGCTACAAGGCCAAGCTCGTCGAGCAGATTCTCGTCGACAAGCGGCGGTCGCGTTAGGGTGAATACGCGGTCCCGTGGAGGTGGCTCGTAGGAATGCAACGTTAAGTGCTTTGGAATGCGTTGCTATCTCGTCGCTCCTTGGCGCGCTTTGGTCGCTGCATTGTCTCGTGCGTCGAGCCATTGGCGGCATCAGTGGGCAGCTATCGCGAGGCACAAGACGTGCCTTTTTCTGCGCTTGATCCATGCGTACGCATCTGTGGCTTCATTGCGTACGACGAACTGAACAACATTGCACACACAAGCAGCCAGAAGATAGAAAGGCCCGTGGGCTGGGTAACCAGGAGGCTCCTATATATATGAAAGTCGATCGAGTCGCTAAAAGGGCGGTGTGGCGCGGAGACTATGGACGAGCGACGTGTACGCGGCCGTGTTGTCGGGCGTCAAAATGCCGTGGCGCAATCCAAAGTCGATCAAGAGGAGGCAAATGTCGGGCTTGAAGCTCTCGGGCGACGCCTCGACGAGCGCGAGCGCCTTGTGGATCGGCCAGAGCTCGAAGCGCTCGACTTCGTCGCCGTCGCAGCGCGGCACCAGCGAGTCCGGCAAGCACGCATCAAACACAAACTAATATCGTTCAAAATGAGATACCTCCGACGTGCAACCGACTGCTGTCATTGCAATATACCATCGTGTTGTGCTTCAAGCCTTCTTTCTCCGAGTGGACGTACGAGACGACGCCGACGCTGCGCATGAGATGCGCGATGTCATCTGCTGAAAACATCGCTTCTTCGCTCGCCTCCTTGAGCATGTTGTCCCATGGCGAAATGTCGAGCGGGAGGCCGCCACCGACGATCGAGTCCCACTTGTGGGGCCAGAGGGCGCGCGATGCATGGCGGAGGCCCATCCAGACGCTCACGTCGTCGGGCCGCGGGCCGTGCCGGACGTACCCGTTGAGATGGCACCCGCACTGCGTGATGCCAAAGAACGCAGCCGCCGATCGGTCGACGCGGAAGACGACCTGGTCCGACGCGTCCCGGGCGCCGTAGTCTTCTTGCTTCCACGTTTCCTCAATGTCGCCAGACGCTTGAAGCGCCCGCGCGACGCGCATCATGGCTAGCAGCCGAAGCATGCAGTCAGTGAGAAGACAGTGCTGCGAGTGTACCTCTCGTGCGCGCGGCTTCGTGGGCCAAGTGCGGGTGCACTTGAATGCGATCCGGCGTCGCCTCGCTAAAGACGTCGGGAAACCGCTTGAGGGCCTAGCCGCAGCCATGAGAGCCGGCGCGCATGCCGAGGTACACGTACCGAGACGCGCTCCTTGGCCACGAGGCCCACCGTGCGCTGGCCCACGAGCAGCGGCGCGTATGTCGCCGGCGCGAACCGGTTGTTGCGGCGGACGATGTCGACGAGCTGCCGCATGTCCGGATGATGCAAAGTGGCATCCGGTATGTCGCCCGCTGGTATGCAGTGTGTAACTTGAAAATAACGTTAGCAAGTCGGCTCCGTTCACGTTGGTGATACCGGTTGTGATATACTTGCAGCAAGGCCATAAGCTTTACGTAACAGTCATGGCCTTGCTTGTAGGTTGCAGTGCTCGGCTTTCCTTCACAGCAGCACGCTTGCGCTTGAAGTCTACGGTATGTTGTCAACTATCATATCACACTATTTCGTCGCCGCGGAACAAAATAGATAAATACCAGCAATTAGTGTACGTATCATACACCATTTCAGGCCTCACATTATCATTAAATAGTGTAAATATTAATATTAAACTTACAGTATTTAATTTTGTCGTTCGCACGAAAATAGAGTGATCTGGCAGAGCCCGCCAGGCAAGACGTTGGATAGACGCGTTCGATCGATCGCGTTGGACGACGTATACCAAGCTCTACTACATGTGCTGCCCACTCGAGAACACTTTGAGCTTGCGGGAAAGGCTCGGTCCAGCATCTCTACCTCCGCATCAGTATTGGGTTGCATGGGCGTGCGTCGCTCATTAGTTCGGTGCTACACCCACGTCGTTCGATGGTCACGGTGGCGGAGAACTTGGTTTCTTCGCTCGACTCGATCGCAATACTGTATGTCATGGCGTAAAGTAGGAAAAGTCCATCGTGGGGGGCGGCACGTTTATGCGCGTGAGCGCCGCCGAGATTTGCCCGCGGTGGTGCGTCGCGTGGTTGACCGCATGCAAAATGAGGTGCCCGGCTTCTTTCTCCATCCAGGCGCCGTCCGTCGCACGATACACAACGCGCGCATCGCTGGACGGCACGGTATCAACATGTGCCACGAGCCGCGTCGCTTGGCGAACAAGCTCCGCAGCAATGTCGTCGCGGGCCGGCACAAACTCTTCCCAGTAGATACGCGGTGCATTCGGCGCTGCGTACAACTGGTCGTCTGGACGGTTCCAGAACGGCGCAAGGCGAGGATCTTCGGGCGCGTCGGGCTTGAGCCGGCTGTAGAGGAGCTGGTCGGCGAGCAAAATGTGGTTCAGCGTGCCGTGGATCGAGCGAAATGGAAGGCCGCAATGCCCATGGTACGCGGCGTCGTCGAGCACAGCGACGCTCGCGAGCAGGCGCTCGGTCGCCCACACGTTGTAGCGCGCAAACGTGCGCAAGAGGTGCATCCTCCTTCTGTGGCTGCCAGCAAAAGGCAACTTCAACGAATTGAGACTTGCGGTTCTTCGAACTTCGCTCTCGCAATCCATGCAAAGCCTCGACACCTCATGTCCATGCCAAGGCGCCATATTCGCCAGCTCGCGCCCGCCACGGCCAAGCGACCATCCACGTCCTGCTTCCTGTCCCACGCCAAATATTCCGACGCGGCCGCGCGGCGTTGGACTTGTGCGTTGGACTTGTTTTTCACATTTCGCACCAGGTTTCGCACACACGTGCCTTGCGATATCCGGATAAACACGCATGTATCCGTACAATATTCGCCGCGTGTCGCAGCGTATGGGTCCGACAGGGTGCAATAAAATGGCCATGCGACCACATCCTCTTGAATATTGTATGGACGGTATAACGTGGACATGGATAATAAAAAAGATAATATTTCAATATTTCACGCGTGCGACTGTAATATTCGAGCCGGTAGCGTCGTCACTTGGCAATATTCACCGTCGCAGCAAGCAGTCCATGGCGCTCACCAACACGTGCTCCAAGATCATCTTGGTGCTGCTCAACCTCGCGTTCATTGCCGCCGGCGCCGTCTTCATCTACTATGGCCTCGACGTCAAGCACAATGGCTGGACCGACATCTTCCAGGGCAACGTCTCCAAGAACGGCCTCGACACGGGCGTCATCGCGTTCGGGGCCGTCGTCATTGGCATCGCGCTCTTTGGCTTCCTCGGCGCGCTCTGCCGCAACAAGTGCCTCCTCGTCTTGTACTCGATCTTTGTCTTTGTCGCGATGGCCATCTTTATCCTCCTCGCCGTCCTCTTCTTTCTGAGCGCGAGCACGGCGAGCAAGTGGGCCGGCGAGGCGTACCCCGCCGACGCCGAGAACGAACCCGACCTCGCCATTGGCTTTGACAAGGTGTATTGCTACGCGCAGGCCGCGAACCTCTGCATGACGTCGTCGGCGACGTCGGCCATCAATGCGTTTTACCCGTCGGGCGCGGCTACGATCCTCGCGGTGGCTTCGCTTATCAAGGTCAACGTCTCGGAACCCACGGGCATCAACGGCTTTTGCACGAGCGTCGACAAGCAGCTCGCGGCCGTCTCGATCCCGAACGTCAAGATGCCGTCCGAGTACACGGAGGTGTGCAAAGCGTGCAAGGAAGTCGCGTCCAAGTACGACGCGTACAAGGCGATCTTTGAGTGGACCAACGAGCAGTGCCCGCTCACGGCGACGTCGGCTGTGTGGTGCGGCCAGTTTATCCTCAGCAAGAAGGAGGGCGACGCGTACAAGGGCGCACCGTACCAGGAGTGCCGCCCCAAGATTCTCGATCTGTGGAAGTCGCTTTCGAACAAGGTGGCGATCGGCTCGACGATCCTCGCGGTCGTCTCGCTCGTCCTGCTCTTCATGGCCTGCTCGGCGGGCCGGTCGGACGAAGGCGGCTACTACCACGACTCGGTCTAAGCACGTCCTCTTGTTATAATCTAATTGCACATATCCCACACTTTTCGACTTGTATTTGACGTTTATCAAGGTACACCAAAACCTGTAGGACCAAGGATCAAGGCGGCGAGGTCGGGCGATATCTCGTGCCGGTGGCTAGTGGCCTCGACGAGGAGCGTCTGTGCGAGCACTCGGAGCATGAACGCGGAGGGCGCCGTGTCGGCCGTCGACGCCAGCTGCATCACATCCCGCAAGATGGTCGCTAAAAGACCGGGGCAGGCCGCCCAAAGCCAGCGCCACGCTGCTAGACGACCGTCGGCGACGAGGCTCTGCACGACGCAGACGCGGCGAAGGTTGTCGTCGGGGTCAAACCCGCGTGGGTAGAGCTCGCGTAATAGGACATGCACCGCCGACGCGAGGACATGTGGATCCCGGCCCTCGCACGCCGCAAGAAGCGACCAAAGCGCCAACAGCAGCATGTCTGAGTCCTCGACGGCACGAGTGATGCGGAGCGCCCTCTGGATCTCTTCGAGCATGCACTGGATGTGGCTGGACGAGCACGCTGCGATGAGCGACGTCGCTGCGTCCCTCGTTGCAGGTAGCATGGCTGGCCCCGAGGCTCGGACGTAGCCACGAGCCGACGACGCGACTTTGCGCCAGCGGTCCGAGCGCCGCGTCAAGTCGGACAGCAGAGGCAACGCCGCCCGCATCACCTCTTGGAGCGGCGCGCTAAACGTCAAGTGCTTGTCGACGATCGCGCTCGATACGTACTTGCGTGCACGCAGGTGCTGCAGAAGCGCGATATAGGTCGATGGGTGGCGCACAGAGTGCAGCTTGAACCAACTGGTCGCATACTCGTCCTTTAGCAGCGACGATGGGTCGGGCCAGCGCGCGACGAGCTCGTCGGCAAGCGCTGCGGCATCGTTGCGGCCAATCGGGATTGAAGCGAGAAAGCGTAGCAGGGCCGAGTCGTCCCTCGCTCGAAAAGGGGCAGGCGCAGGCTGCACATGGCACTGAGCCACCAGGCGCATGTGCAGGGCGTGAATCTTGTTGGCGACCGCGCGGTCTCGCTCCGCGTGCTTGGCTGCATTGCAGGCAGCGATCAGCGGCGCTAGAGTGGCATGCGGTGCGTCGACGAGCTGCGTCAGTTGAAGCGCGTGCAGGACCCAGCTACGCATACCCGACGCGTCGCCAAGGCCGTCGTCTTCTTGTTGTAGCAAGTGCACAAGCATGTCCAAGGCCTCGAGAGGCCATGTTGCGGCAAACTGCAGGACGGCCGACGTTAGTCGATCGACGAGCGGCGCCAGCGGAATGTGCTTGAACAGCGCGCGGCCAATGCATTCGCCGAGCGCCGCCTTTTCATCCTTGTCGAGGTCATCTGCGGCTTGCAGCAGCGCCTGCCACGAGGCAGCGCCATCGACAGGACTCGCGACGACGTCGCGCACAGCGGCGGCAACTCTGCGGTCCATGGTCCCGGACAATACGCAACGGCCATTGGCTCGTCGAGTTTTATCCGGACGCTTTTTCAGCCAATCGCAATCGAAATGGCGAATGGTTGGCGGAAATAATGTTGCTCGTCTCGAATTAGATCCGCTTTTGACCATGGCCAAGAAGGGGAAGCAGCAGCAAGCCGATGCGAAGAAGAAGGGCGGCAACGCCAGCGCATGGACCAAGGTCGACATGACCGAGTACGAGCTGGAAGGCTTCGCCGATGGTGGCGCCTTTGAGCTGGAAGAGCTCACGGGTACGACGACCACATGCAATGCGACCCGGCGCTCATGCAGTCGCGAGTAGAGTACACGATCGAAGAAGACGCGTTTGGTGGCAAGACGCTCAAGTACGCTACAGCCTCGTGCCCTTTAGCGATGCTCATATGCTCGTTGTAGGGCGGCGTCGGGCAAAGCTACCAAGAAGCCCAAGCAGCAAACGCAACAAAAGCAGCAGAAGCAGACCAAGGTGGTCGAGAGCGACAACCAAGACAGCGCAGCGACAGCGCCGGCGGCTGTCGTGGATGCCGAAGGCAAGAAGCGCAAGAAGAAGAAGCGCACCAAGAAGAACAAGGGCGCGGCGACCTCGGACGCAGAGGCCAAGGCCGACGACACGACCGAGGACAAGGACGACCAAGTTGCGACCAACGAAGATGATACCAACAAAGACGACGACGCTGCTGCCGTGGACGACGAAGAAGAGATCTCGACCGAGCCCTTCCCCGAGTGGGCCAAGTACAAGCTCCACCCGACGATCAACCAAGCGCTTCGCCGCGTCGGCTTTACGGGCCCGACCGAGATCCAGGCCAAGACGTTGCATCCGGCTGTGATTGAACACCGCGACGTGGTCGGTGCCGCGCCGACGGGGTCGGGTAAGACGCTCGCGTTCGGTCTGCCCGTGCTGCACCACTTGTTGTCGCACCCGGAGCAAGAAAAGAAGTGCCGCGCGCTCATTCTGACGCCGACGCGCGAACTGGCCATGCAGATCACGGAGCATCTGATGAAGATCGTGCCCAACAAGCGCCAGATCGGCATTGTGACCTTGGTCGGTGGCATGGCGGTCCAGAAGCAGATCCGCCAGCTCTCGTATGCGCCCGAGATTGTCGTCGCGACGCCCGGTCGTCTCTGGGAAGTCATGGAGGCCGGCGAGAGCCACCACTTTGCGGCCCTGAACCGCGACTTGCAGTTTCTCATTGTCGATGAAGCCGATCGCATGCTCCAACCCGGCAGCTTTCCGCAGCTGCAAAAGATCTTCGAAAAGATCAACTCGAACACGGCCAAGCCAGTGAAGGGCAAGGTCCTCGAAGACATGGACGACGACGATGAAGACGACGAAGATGTGCCCATGGAGGCGGCCGAGACGTCGGTTGTGATGCTCGACGACATCCTCAAGCAGCACGAAGCAGCCAAGGCTGCCAAACCCGAGGCGGCAGCGCCCAAGACACCCACGTTTGTGCGGCAGACGTTCCTCTTTTCGGCGACCATGACGCTCAAGAACGCTGGCCGGTACCAGACCAAGCGTATGAAGAACCCGACGGCGCTCACGGTGCTTGAGAGCATCATGCGCCGCGTGGGTCTCCGCGGCAAGCCGGCGGTCGTCGACCTTAGCGTGGCGGCCGCGACCTCGGCGACGACCGACGAGAGCGCACCGGCGAGCAAGAAGCCCAAAGGCACGTCGGAAGTGACGCTGCCGGCCGGCCTCGAACTCTCGCAAATCGAGACGCTCGACGAACACCGCAACGACTGCCTCTACTACTTTTTGACGCAGGTAGGATGGTCGCAAACACCGCTTTCCGTGGTGTTTATGACAATATTGGTAGTACCCGGGGCGCACGATTGTCTTTTTGAACGCGATTGCCGGTGTCCGTCGCGTCGCTGGCATCTTGAGCCTCCTCAAGCTGCCGGTGTTTGCGCTCCACGCCGAGATGCAGCAGAAGCAGCGCCTCAAGAAGCTCGAGGGCTTCCGCGCCAACCCCAAGGGCATTCTCATTGCCACCGATGTCGCCGCGCGCGGTCTTGATATCCCGAGTGTCGAGTACGTCGTACACTACCACATCCCGCGCTCGGCCGAGACGTTCGTTCACCGCAGTGGTCGCACGGCCCGTGCGGCCAAGGAAGGTCTCAGTGTCTCGATGGTCGCCCCGATCGACGCGGTACGTTTCAAACGATCAATGTATCAAGCTGCCACGACGCGACGCTCATGCACGGTGTGTAGAAATACCATGCGCAGATCTGCAACGTGCTCCACCGCCCGTCGGGCTTTTCGTCGTTTCCGATCGACCACAAGTTCCTCCCGGTCATCAAGGAGCGCGTGAAGCTCGCGGAACAGATTTACGCGGAAGAGAACCAAGAGAGCAAGTCCAAGTCGGAAGCCTCGTGGTTCTCGCAGATGGCCGAAGCCGCCGACTTGCCGCTCGACGACGAGCTCCTTGCGCAAATGCATGTTGAGGGCGGCTCGGATGTGCGCGGCGCCAAGGCGAATCTGAACCGCCTTCTCCAAGAACCGCTGCGCCCGATTGGTGCCAAGCGCAAGTTCCGCATGCTTCACGAAGAGATGAAGAGCAACCTCTTGACGGCCGACGGCGAGTACCGGTCACGCGACGCGACCGCGGACCTCATGAAAAAGTCCAAGAAGCACTCGCTCAAGCGCTTCCGGAAGAGATAATTCGCACTAACTTAATCCTTGGCCAATTCTCGAAACATGGCTTCTGCCTGCTGGAAGGATAAGAACGTAGGTTGCGTCAATGTTTACAGTGTTGGGTACTTGGCTCAAACGGGCTCCGACTGCCCGAACGCTGTCTTCAACGCTCGGTATGCTCTGGAAGAGACCAACAGTGCGCGCGAGGGTAGAGCGTACTGTACGTTGTTTCCTCTGCGGCAGACACTCGTCCAGCCTGGCATCTTTGACAACAAGACGGACGTGCTCCGGGTCCAGGCGCTGCTTACTGCACCGAGCTTCTTTAGCGTCCCGATCAACGACGCGACGACCCTCTTGCACTTTTGCAACAAGATCAATGCCAGTGTGCGCGCCGCCGAGCGATCGATCGATCGATGTCGCGTGCGATGGCTGCCGTCACGCAGTGGCAGCGCCGGACGACACGTCATCCTTCGGCGACTGGGTCCATCAACATTGTCCGCTGCATCATGAGCCGCAGCCCAACCCGTTTCTGCTCTCATCCGGACGCCAAGTCCTGCCGCCGCGATTTCCTGAGCCAAATCACACAGCCAAGCCTTTGCTACGAAGAGCAATTTGGTGGCTTGCTCAAGCGGCTCGTGGAGGCACTCGCGTACTCTGCGTTGACCCTCTCTGTGCTGGCGTTCCTTCTCTTCTGGGCGACTGTGTTTCTTCAGTGCCAGCGCGACGGGATCGACGAAGAGGACCAGCTGATGTACGACGCCGTGAACGCGCGGCCGTCGTCAACCCAAGTATAACGACGCTTGTAATCACGCAAATTTTGACTCTGTATGGTGCTCCAACTCTGTATACTTCCTTCCCGGGATTGCTCGTGTCCCGGCTTGCTGTCATGTTGATCCCTTTCACACGTCGGTATGATGGATCGATCCAGAATCAAAGTGCTTGCGAGCCACATGAAGACGATTCATTCGCCTTACGGCAGCTCCTTCGTACGCAGTCAACGCCACCAATCTTGTATCCAGCACTCGCTGAACGCAGACTCCCGCACCTTCCTCGTGGATGGCACAGCCTCTTCCTGAGGATCTATCGACAAGGCCTCCAGGATTTATTGTCAACCGACCTGGCTTCAATCCCATCCTACTGTACGTATAGCAGGTAAACCTTCAACGTAGAAGCAAGTGCTGGGTTCAGATCTGGACCTGCGCCTCAACAATCTCAGCACATTTCCAGAGTGATGGTGCAGCGGCGGATGATATTCTGGCAGATCCAAGTTCCATTTCCACAACAAACAGCGGTTGTCGATGGCAGCATCGGACGACGAGACGCGGTTGCCGATCCTCGAGAAGCTCACGAGCGACGCGGAGGCCCACGCACGCTCGACGACGCGCGTCCGGCGCAGCTTCACGGGCCTCGTAGCGACCGTGCTGGTCAGCGCCGTCCTCGCATTTGGCTGGTCGCTGCCATCGAAGCCCGACCCGCCGCTCCAGGACGCACCCCACGACTTTTCCGGCGATTTGCTCATGCGCTGCGAGACCAGCACCCTGCTCCAGCCACTCGACCACTTTGGGGCATCGCCCACCGCGGCGTCGTTCCAGCAGCGGTATTTTACCTGTGGTGAGTTTTTTGATGCGGCGAGCGGTCCGATCTTCTTCTACACGGGCGGCCACGCCGACGTCGAGCTCTTCCTCAACACGACCGGCGCCATGTGGGAAGCCGCGCCGGCCGCTCAAGCGCTTCTGGTCTTTGCCGAGCACCGGTTCTTTGGCGCGTCCATCCCATCATCATCGTCATCGCTGGACCACCTCTCGACGGCGCAGGCGCTCGCCGACTATGCGAACGTGATCACGGCGCTTCTCGCTCGTTTTGGCCACCGCCCGGTTGTTGCATTTGGCGGCGGCTACGGCGGCCTCCTCGCGTCGTGGCTGCGGCTCAAGTTTCCGCACCTCGTGATCGGTGCGGTTGCAAGCTCCGCGCCACTCCTCGCGTTCGACGCGGACGTCGACCATGAGGCGTTTGCGCGGACCGTCACGTACGTAGCAAGTCCCGTGGCCGGTGCCCACCCCAACTGCATCCCCAACATCCGCGCGTTGTGGCCCAAGCTCACGGCGGCGGCAACATCGTCGATCGGTTACGCACAGCTCGCCGCTGCGTTTCGCCTCTGCCCCAGCAGCCAACATCCTTTGTCCACTTCTCTTGTGTCTTGGATCACGACGGCGTTCGAAGGCTTGGCCGTCCACAACCACCCGTTCGCGACGGCGAGTCTGCCGGGGCACCCGATGCGCGCCGCCTGCGCGCACTTGGCCCACGACTGGTACGCTGAGAGCTCCGATAGCGAGCTCTATGCGGCGGTGCGGGAAGCGGTTGGCGTCTACTACAATGCATCCGGCGACGTACCATGCTTTGATCTTAACAACGACCGCGACGATCAAGCCGAGCGACGACGCAAGGGTGTATTATACGAGTACCTCGCGTGCACGGAGCTCTACACTCCGCGCGACTATGCTGGCGGCGACGACGACATGTTTCCACCTCAGCGCCACAACGAAACCGCAGATGCTATGCGCTGCCTGCAGACGTGGGGTGTCCAATTGCGCCCGTTCGGCGCACACACCATGTACGGCGGGCGTGCGGGGCTCGAAGCGGCGACCAACCTCGTGCTAACCAACGGCGACATGGACCCGTGGAGCCACAGCGGCGTGCTGCAGTCGCTCGCACCGTCCGTCGTGGCCGTGCGCATTCCAAAGGGCACCCACCAGTCCGACTTGTATTTCCATGATGCGACCGACTCGGACGACCTCAAGTCGGCGCGCAGTGTGGTGCGAGCCCACGTCCAGCATTGGCTCACGGCCTTTTCCAAGCAATAGAAGACACATACTAGGATGGACAACATTTGTCCTGTGTTTGTGTGCATTTCGTACGGCAAAGCGGCGGCGTGACCTTAGACGTGGTTGACATGCATCGTGAGCTGCACGGGCTTGAGCGAGACGCCTGAGAGCTTGGGATTGGTGTTCGCCTCGGGGGCCAGCGCAAACGAAAACTGGGGGAGCAGCGTCGCGACGACGACTTGGAGCTCGGCGGTGGCGAAGCGCATGCCAATGCAGTTTTTGGCGCCGGCGCTGAACGGCATGTAGAAGAAGGTGTTGCCACGACCGTCGCGGAGTGCCTTGTCAGCCAAGAAGACGTCTGAGTCGTCGAGAAACCGGTCTACACAGGTAGGCGAATCATGTCATGGACCGTGTGGACCAACACAAGACCTGGCAGAAACTCTGTCGGACGGCTCCAGTACCGCGGGTTGCGGTGCAGCACGCCTGTGTTGGCCACAATGGTCGTGCCCTACAGGCAGAATATGAACCTATATTCTGCATCCAGCGATATTGCAAGGGAACATTCGTACCTTGGGCACAAAAATGGGGTTGCCCGACTCGAGCGGGATGTGGTCGTCTGCCTCGGCAATGCGACTCGCGAGCGTTGAAATCGTCGGGAAGAGACGCAGCGTTTCGTGGATGACGGCGCTGATGTACTTGAGGTCCCCGAGCGCTGCGTGCGAGATGCGTCCATGGGCCTTTTGCACCGCGCGGGCTTCGGCGCGCGCCTTGGCCTCCACCTCAGGGTGCTGCGCCAAGAGGGTAAACACCCAGGCGAGCGTCGTGCTCGTCGTCTATAGAGTCAAAAGCAGACAATCAAAGACTACGGCGAGAGTCCAAGTGGGTAGAATGTACCTCGTGGCCCGCGAGAAGAAACGTGAGCACGTGGACGCGGGCTTCGGCGGCCGAGACCTTGTGGTCGGTCTGCGAGCTCTCGTCCAGCATCAGATCCAAGAGGTCGGTCGCAATGTCCGTGGGATGCGCGAGCTTCTCCGCAATGACGTCGTCGACGACCTTGAAAAGAATGGCTTTGGCGCGCTTCATCTTGACGAGGCGCGGCAACGGGTAGTGCTTGAAGCCCGGCAAGAGGAGCGACCCGAGAAAGTACGCCAAGCTCGGCGTATTGTTCATCATGTGGTACGCCTCCAGCGTCTGCGAGTTGCTGCCGGCGAGCGACTCGAAGTTGTAGCCAAAGGCAGAGACGCCGATCACGTCCAGCGTGAGCTTGGTGAAGACTATCGCATTGGAAAAAAGTTGAGTGTAAAAAAGACCAGAAAACGTCCAAAATCGGTCGTACGGTCGTGCATGTCGACGGACGCACCGGACGCGACGACCGTGTCGAGGCGACGCACGAGGTGCGCCGTGTGCTGCTGGAAGATGTCGACGAAGGTCTTGACCTTGGCGTAGCCAAAGTGCGGCATCAAGAGCTTGCGCATGCCCGTGTGCACGTCGCCCTCGGAGCTCAAGAGCCCGTCGCCGCCCGTAAGGTTCTAATGTATCAACTTGATACTATATTGCATCCAATAGGACACGTACGCTGAGGAAGCGGCGCGCTGTTGGGTCCCGCGGGTACGTGTCGCCGTGGGTAAGAAACACGTGCTTGAGTGCCTCTGGGTCTGTGAGGAGAATCTAGTCGACGTGTTAGTCGATCGACCGTCGTATACTAGTAATGGTCGAACCCGATGCGAGAGGAACGCGCGGTAGTGCACCGCGCCGCCGTACTGCAGCGTCCACTTGAGGCCTGGCTCGGGGTAATGGCCGTCCGCCCACTTGGTATCGATGATTTCCTTGCTAATACATACATCAACGATTAAGTTCGCATTCGGAAGGCGTGAGCGAACAGGTTGCCAAAGATGACGTGGCTTGCGGCGGGGCCTGGAATAGCACGCAGCGGGCTCCAGGCAGGCGCAAGAATGAAGAGGTAGAGAAAGGCGAGGCAAAGGCCGAGGACCACCAGGCCACACACGAAGGCGAGGTCCATGGCGAAAAGCAGAGTGAAAAGCAGCAGCGCGGAAGCAGAGATTTTGCGTTGTCTGGCTCAGAGCTCGCGCAACATGATTGCAGAGCAAGCGGCGGGACTCAACGTTGCCTTTCAATCGACACGTGATTACGAACGCTGGATCGCGACTGAACGCAGCCACATGTTTGCAGTGACCAGCATTCTCGCGGATGGATGCATACTAGTGTACCTGAGCATTAAATTTCAGGAGCCGCTCAGCACATGCGAGACGGGAGCAGCGTTCGACGTTGAATCCGATAGCACTAAGGACCAAAAAACATTTAAGAGTCAGGTCAATTTTTCACGTTTTGGAGTGGGCATATTTTGATAGACTTTATTTTTTAGCTCAGACCTACTAGCACAGACATCGCACCCTCTCAATGGCATTCTCTAAACTCTCAAACGATGTCGCGTCAATGCAAGAGGCGAGGTTAGCTCAAACTTTTAGAGTTTGGACGTAGCCATCAAGTCTTATGGGATGGTATTATGGGATGGTCTTATGGCATGGACTCATGGTGGGTGCAGCGTTGGCGCTGATTGCATTCCATTCGATCGACCCTTCCAACGCTTGTCGATCATTTTGAGAAGTATTATCGCCTATTTAGAGCGTGGTTGACGCTGACGTGACCTAACCGCGAGCTAACCGCGGGGTGTGACACCTGTGCTGCCTGTGCAGCGACAGGTTCCCCGAATTCATGGTGCTTTTAACGTAGCGCTTTTCGCGCATTGATTCAAAACGATTCCCATCGAATCGGATCCTCGCAATAACCGATCGCGATAGCTTTCATCTTGATGATGCAGCTAGCAGCGTTGGCCTCGTGCGAGCTAGCACTCGGCGACCGCCCCACAAGATAGATCACTCAATACGCAGCTCACTTCAAAAGTGCAGGCGTCAACGCACTCGCATCCAGGCGTAGCGCTGCGATAAATGCAAAGTTTTTGCCTCGGTTTTTGGCAATCGCGACCGCGTTGGAGCGAGGATGGATAGTTGGATACTTCAACAACGACGCACTGCTCTATAGCTGTATTGCGGGCCCTCGGATGGACCTCAATTTGGGACTAGCGAGGCGGTGGCTGCCCGTTGCCTTCTACTTCAAACTGAAGTTGTCTCGATGGGCCGCTTGCACTGTTTTTCCAAGATACGGGGGTTTCACACCAACGCCAATCGGCGCTCGCATCGGAAATAGTGTGCGATCCGAAGCGGCGTCGTGCTAAAAAGGCGGGTCCGTTTCGGGGCCTCAAAACTTGTATTTTCGATCAAACGACCAAGATGGGGTGCGCGAACTCGTCGACGCTTCAGGACACGGCGCAGCTGGACAACATTGCAACGGTTGACGCGCCGACGTCGTCGGACCGCAAGGTGAGCATCGCGATGCGCGAGAAGCGGGATGCGCAGCGCCGCGGCGACATCTTCGCCGAAAGCATCCAGTTCGACGACGAGTACCAGCCCAGCACGGTGCCGAAACCCGATGAGACATCGACGCTGATCAAGGACGCCTTGTCGCGGAATGCGCTCATGTCCATCATCAGCGCCATGGACATGGATGTTATGGCCGGCTTCATGGTGCGCATGCACTTCCAGAAGGACGACACGGTTATTCGCGAAGGCGACTCGGGCGACTTCTTCTACGTGGTCGAGAGCGGCGTCTTTGACATCTCGGTCAAGGGCGAAGTCGTCATGACGGTGCGGTCCGGCGGCAGCTTTGGTGAGCTCGCGCTGCTGTACAACTGCCCGCGCTCGGCAACCATTACGACTGTCGAAGCCGGTGATCTCTGGGCGCTCGACCGTGTGACCTTCCGCTGGATCGTCGCGCGCAACGCCGAGGACCAGCTCGACGAATGCAAAAAGTTTCTGCGCAACGTCCCGCTGCTCCAGGTCCAACTGCTTTGTTTCAACTTGATACATCGATGGGTCCTCATAGTTCTTGAAATTTAGGAGCTCACGGACAACCAAATGAGCCAGCTCTCCAACGGTGCGTGCGGTATATATATCAATGGAGTTGCTGATGGGATGCGTAGTGGTGCAACTGTTGCACTTTAAAAAAGGCGAGCGCATCATTACCAAAGGCGAGAAGGGCAACGTCTTGTACATCATCAAGTCGGGCTCTGGTACATCATGGACAACTTGTCCAACAGTTCTCGATGGGAAAATCATGTCATGTTGCTAGTGATCTGCAGCGATGCCGGTGATGGCAACACGATGGAAAGTGTCCGCATTTCTGTACGTAAACGCGTCATCACCCGCACTCGCTGATGGTGTGCATTAGGACGGCGAGTACTTTGGCGAGCGCGCTCTGATGACGCACGAGCCGCGGGCGGCCAATGTCACGGCCGAGACCGACGTCGTGGGTACGTCTCTGTTGTCTTGATTTTAGAGTCAAACTCGACACTCACAACACAAATTCCAACTAGCTCTGGCGCTCGATCGTCAGGCGTTTGACGAGATCCTGGGGTCGCTTCGCGAAGTCATTGATCGCAACATGAGCATGCGGTATACGACAATATTGTCCTCTATTCGCGGACCAATCGAATCGCATCCCTAGCGTCATTCAATCGGTGCCAATTCTCAAGTCGCTGACGCCATCCAAGCGTGCGATGCTCTTTGCTGCACTTACGACCGAGACCTTTGCAGACGGAGTGTCCGTCATCAACGAAGGCGAGCCCGGCTCCAAGTTTTACATCATTAAGAATGGCCACGCGATCGTGTCCAAAACCAACGGTACTGATGTGCGAAAAGTTGAAAAATCTGAGTTTCTCTCTATTTGACAAGGCAACAACACGGCGGTCGAGATCGCAAAGCTTTCGGTCGGCGACTACTTTGGCGAAATGGCGCTACTCAACGACGAGCCGCGCAAGGCCAACGTGACCGCGGGCGGACTCCTCGAGTGTTTTGTGCTCGAGCGCGCCAAGGTACTGGATTCTGAAACGGAAACGCAATCCAAATCAGATCGCCATGGTCTAGTTTGTCGAGCTTCTTGGGCCACTGCAAGATATCTTGAACAAGGAGGCCGACGACCGCAAGGCTGAGCTCACGGCTCGCGACCGCGTCGAGTTTTCTGACCTCGAGATCCTCCGCACGCTCGGCACGGGCACGTTTGGCCGCGTCAAGCTCGCGCGCCACAAGGGCACGGGGATGGCTTATGCGCTGAAGGTACTCCAGAAGAGCCAAGTCGTTGCGTACAAGCAGCAGCTCAACATCCTCAACGAAAAGAACCTCCTCGCTTCCGTACGTTCAAGACGACTTTACATGCACATTGGTCCAACCAACCCAACATGTAGTGCAACCATCCGTTCATTCTCAAGCTCTACCAGACGTTCAAGGACGAGCAATGCCTCTACTTGCTCATGGAGGTAGACATTACTATCGTATGAAGGACGTCGTTATCATCCGCGTGTAGTTTGTGCAAGGCGGTGAGCTGTTTGCCTACCTGCACTGCAACGAGCGACCAACGGGACGCATTCCTAACGACCACGCTCGCTTTTACGCGTCGCACGTCGTGCTCGCGCTCGAGTACCTCCACGACCGCATGATCATCTACCGTGATCTAAAACCCGAAAACCTCCTCATCGATGAAGAAGGCTACATCAAGGTTGGACGATATTGTCCTTTCTCTTGCAGACAACTCATATACATGACCAGGTGGTTGACTTTGGCTTTGCCAAGATCTGTCAAGACCGCACGTACACGCTCTGCGGCACGCCCGAGTATCTCGCACCCGAGCTCGTGCTCGGCAAGGGCCACAACAAGGTCGGTCGCTTTCCGAGACACTTGCGCTTTAAACATCCCATGTAGGGCGTCGACTACTGGGCGTACGGTGTGCTCATTTACGAAATGTGCGTTGGCGCATCGCCCTTCTGCGGTACGTGGCAACGATGCTGTTGGAGCCAAAGTCGACACATTTTCGTAGGCAACAACCCGTCAGACCAAGTCCAGATTTGCCGCAACATTCTCAAGGAGCCGCTGCGGTTCCCGTCGTGGGTCTCGGGCGCGTGCAAAGACCTCGTGTCCAAGCTCCTCGATCGCGATGTCTCGAAGCGCCTCGGCTGCAACCACGGCGGCACGCATGCGATCCGGACGCACCCGTGGTTCCACGGCCTCGAATGGGACAAGATTGTCAAGAAGAAGGAGCCGGCGCCGTGGCTGCCGACACTTGCGAACCCGCTCGACGCGTCCAAGTTTGCGGTCGTTGAAGAGTGGGACGAGGTGGCAACGTACGAGAACGACGGCTCCAACTGGGACCACGACTTTTAGACGCCGCCTCGCCCTGTACATGTATACGTCACCTGCACTGTACGATGAGAAATGCTATGATGTAATTAATATGCATGCCCTGGTCTCTCGGTGCCATCAGCAACGCGGGAAAGGACGTAACCGTCACTGACGTGGCACCGTGTGCGCGTCCGGCGATTGTCCGGATTGTATCCGTATCCGGATGTGGCGCGATTGGTCATCGTTGTAGTCAGATTTCAGATTGCAGCGCGATGCGGTACCTCCGGTCCAAGCACATTCGCAAGGCGCTGCGCCAGTTCCAGTTCCTCTGCGGCATCAAGCCGCCGTACAAGGTGCTTCTCGATGGTAACTTTATCGCCATGTGCATCAAGATGAACGTGGACATTGCGACGCGCGTGCCCAAGTTTCTCCAGACCGACAAGTGCCACTTCTTCGTGACGTCGGCCGCGATCGCTGAGCTCTCGCTGCTCAGCAGCAGCGACAAGGACATGCTCGCCGCGCATACGCTCGCCAAGACCTTCCAGACGGTCGATGGCCCCTCCAACAAAAGCGTGACCGACGCCATGCTCAGCGCGATCGGCGACCGCAACGACCGCAAGTACATTGTGGCCACGCAGGAAACCGAGCTGCGGAGCGCGCTGCGCCGCGTGCCCGGCGTGCCGCTCATCTACCTCAACCGATCGGTGCTCGTCTTTGAAGACATGTCGGACGCGACCCTCAAGATCTCGCGCAAGGACGACCACGCGAAGATGACCAAGCTCAACCCGGACGAGGCCTCGACGCTCGAGGCCGTGCGCGCCGAGTCGCGTATCACGGCCCACATCGACGACGGCTCCAAGCCGCGAGCGCCCAAGAAGGCCAAGGCGCCGAACCCGCTCTCCATGAAGAAGAGCACCAAGAAAAAAGTCCGCACCAAGAAGCCCAAGGCGGCCTAATCCAGTCAGGACCATTGCTTTTTATATATCGGATTTCAGCGAGACTAGTACTGTCGAGTTAGACAATCAACGGGCGCAAGTGCGAGATGAGCAAGTCGACTTCCTCGACGGTGTTGTAGTGGGCCATCGAGACGCGGACCGCGCCACCGTGCTTGGCCAAGCCGAGCGGCCCGACGAGGTGCACCGCGTAAAAGTTGCCAAAGCGCACGCCAATGTTGACGCGATCCATGTGCGCGACAATGGACGGTGACGTGACACCGTCGACGACGAAGCTGATGGTGGCAATGCGCTCGCGGTAGAGATGATCGGTCGGCGACGTCATCGCCACCTCCGCGAGGCCGAGCACCTTGACCTTGGGCTGCGACCGAAGGTACGCGAGAAGGCGCTCCGAGAGGTACCGCTCGTGCATGTCGAAGCGATCGAACGCGTGCTGCATCAAGGCGCGGTTCGAGGCGTCGTTGGGCGCACCGAGGAGCTTGCCCATGGCTTGAAAGTACTCTGGGATCGCGCTGCAGCCATGCGAGAGCTCAAAGTTGACGTTGCCGGGCTGGAGCTTGTACGGAAGGTCGTCGGCCGCAATGAACTCGTGGTTGAGACTCGAGAGCGAAACGAGGAAGTCGCGATGGCCCCACATGACCGCGTAGTGCGGGCCAAAGACCTTGTAAAAGCTAAAGACATAAATGTCGGCGCCGCTCGCTTGCACGTCGACGAGGCGATGCGGCGCGTAGGCCACCGCGTCCACCGAGAGGCGGCCGCCGACCGCATGGACGCGGTCTGCGACGGCTTTCACGGGGTTGACCGTGCCGAGGATGTTGGACGCATGCGTCATCGCGACCCACTTGGTCTTGGATGTCAAGAGCGCGTCGAGCTGCGCGAGCTCGAGGTGCATGCTCACCGGGTTGATCTCCCAGACCTTGATGACCGCACCGGCCTTGGCGAGACGCTTCCACGCGCCGACGTTGGCTTCGTGCTCCGAATTCGTCAAGATGATCTCGTCGCCTTCGCGGATGCTCGGGAGCAGCGCTTGGATGAAGAGGAACATGAGGCTCGTCGTCGAGCTGCCCATGATGACCTCGTCGTCGTTGGGCGCATTGATAAACTCGGCGATGGCCTTGCGCGCGGACAGAACGCGCGCATTAGCGGCCTTGGCGGTCGCGTACGTCCCGCCGATCTGGACACTTGTCGACGTGAGGTACTCGTAGACCTTGTCGGCCACGCGCTTGAGGACTTGGCCGCCGCCGGCGTTGTCAAAGAAGATGCTCTGGTTGGGCACGCCGAACGACGGGAACTCGGCGCGGACAGCCGCCATCTCGGTCGCCGTCAGTGGGCTCATGGGCGGTGTGGCGGGCATCGTCGTCGTCGTCGTTGTCGGTGGTGGCGAAATGGCAATTGACGCCCATCGTCGACCTGGTTAGCAACTTCGATCCTGCGCTTCGATGTGGATGGCCAACGAATAATAAAATAGCCATGACATACGATATACAAGTCAAGAGGCTGGGCCGCAAAAGATCGCGAAATCGAAGTTGAATGCAACTACGAGGATGCTGTGGTTGAAGTTGGGGCGGGCGTCAGGGAACACGGCCGACGATGAGCACCTTGCGCCCACGAAGCGCGCGAAGATATTTGCATACGGACTCCATACATGACAATATCGTCCACGAACATAGCAGGACTAGCATTAGACTAGCAAGAAGGTCGATTCAACTCTACAAGGTCGGTGCAGTGGTGCCCCTCACCTGCTTCAAGTTCAATCGCTACAACGTCCATTGGTATCCTCTCGACGTACGCTACGTCGTTGCGTGGTCTTCTACGGTATGTATACGTATACAATCGAAAAGAATGTCATTTCATTCCGAGCACCCAAACTTGACCACGCTGTCCCGTCGAGCTGCATGCTGTGGCGACGATGCGACCCGGTCGCCAGACGATGCAGAAGTAAGAATGTCAACGTGTTGATGATCTGGTGACCCTTGGCATATTGGCGCCAAAACCATCAACTCGTGAACTCGTGGGATCGTTTAACCGGACGCACCGTGAAACCTCCCAGGATCGAAGCGTCGGAGAAGCATGGCGGCGCAAGGTACGAGGCTGCGCGCACTATCAACAACCAAGAAACCACCTCGGCTAGGCTCGGGCAGCTCGGTCTTTGATGGCGTCCTCATCGTGCTCTACATCTTCCTTGGCATCTTTTGCTTTCTGCTCCTACTCGGGCTCTACTTTTGCTACAAGAATGCCCGCGCTGACGCCGAGCTGGACGGTACATTCGTTCAATTATCGCTACGGTCTCATTGTGCGACTAGAACTGCAAGGCTACCACGAAGTTGAAGGTACGAGTCGCAGTGTCCACCGCCAGACGTCTCACCGACGCATAGATCCACCATGCCTCAATGCGACGCGCGACACAGTATGCTCGCGTGGCCAAGGTTGGCAGCTCCGCGTCGCTAGTGGTCTCTGAGGCGTCGTAGGCATTCGCTGCGACAAGATCGACACCAAGGTCGCGCTGCAAGGCATTACCTCGACTGCGCCAGCGCTGTCATCGCAAACGAGCTTTTTCTCGACAACCACGTCGTGCGCTGCGGTCACGCCAGCACCAGTAGCCCACACTACTACGCTCTGAGCGCCTGCCCATCGTGTTCCTCTGGTGTTTGCCCGGGTCATACAATGTGCTCTGCGTGTAAGGTCTAACTGGATTGAACAAGAGATAAATATTAGCGTACCTCTTTCGGAAAGATCGTCTCTGAATCTGTGCTTCCTTTGAGCTTTGAGGACCAAGGAAGATCAACAGCAAGCGATCGCCTTGCACGATGTCTCTCTCCATCAAGCCCGCCACCTGTGGCCAATGAAAATCGTCAAATGCTGTCAACTTCAAGTTGCTCCAGTATGGCACCTCCTCGCTCGGCGCAGTAGCTCCATCATCCTTCTTCTCGTCAAGGGACACAGCAAGAACATATATGACGAGGTGTCTAATGGACGTCGGACACGGTGGTAAAATATCAAGCTATCCAGCCGATGGTGTAGGCTGCGTAATCACACCATGATTGGTCAAGTTTTTCTCTTTTTTAGCCAATAGTAGCTCGAATAAATGGACCTCTCTTCCAACCATTTGCAAATCACGCGCAGCAGAATGGAAGCGAAGCAAGAGTCGACGACGGTCCCGGCCGGCGCGCAGGCCGCGGTCCTCGTCAAGTCGGAGCGCCTAGACAATGGCGACTACAGCCAGGTGAAGGGGTACGTGCCCATGCGCATGAAGGCCATCCACTCATGGTCCTGACGCAGCTACGACTTCAACCAAGGCGTCGACTATGCCAAGCTCATGGAGAGCTACCGCTACATGGGCTTCCAGGCCACGAACCTCGGCAAGGCCGTCGAAGAGATCAACCGCATGGTAGGATGCATCTCGCTCGCTTCGCGCCCTCATTGCGCTCGTACTTGCAGCGGTCGTGGCGCCTGAGCGCGAGCCCATCGACGAGAACGACGACGATGCGCTCAAGGATCCGACCGTGCGCGCGAACTTCAAGTGCAAGATCTTCTTGGGGTACACGTCCAACTTGATCTCAAGCGGGCTTCGCGAGACGCTGCGGTTCCTCGCCCAGCACAAGATGGTACTCCTCGATGCTGTCCACGTGCGCGCATCTCAGGTGCCCGTATGTAGGTGGATGTGATTGTCGCGACGGCCGGTGGCATTGAAGAAGACTTTATCAAGTGTCTGGCACCCACGTACATTGGCGATTTTGCGCTCAAGGGCGCGGACCTCCGCACGCGTGGCATCAACCGCATCGGGAACCTTCTCGTGCCCAACGACAATTACTGCAAGTTTGAAGACTGGCTCAACCCGATCCTCGACACGATGCTTGAAGAGCAAAAGACCTTGGTGCGTGCGTTTCCTCATGGACAACTTGTCTGATATACACATTACATAGGGCACCGTGTGGTCGCCGTCGACGATGATCCACCGTCTCGGCAAGGAAATCAACAACGAAGACTCGGTCTACTACTGGTGCTACAAGGTACGCTCTGCCTTTTTGCCTATCAGTTCTGGAAAGCGGGCTAGAACAACATTCCAGTGTTTTGCCCCGCGCTCACGGACGGCTCGATCGGCGACATGATTTACTTTCACTCGTACCGCAACGAAGGCCTCGTCCTCGATATCGTCAGCGATATTCGCCGCATGAACGACCATGCGATCCGCGCGAAAAAGACGGGCGTCATCATCCTCGGCGGAGGCGTCGTCAAGCACCACATCCTCAACGCCAACCTCATGCGCAACGGCGCCGACTTTGGTGTCTTTGTCAACACGGGCCAAGAGTACGACGGCAGCGACGCTGGCGCCCGCCCGGACGAAGCCATCTCGTGGGGCAAGCTCCGCTTGAACGCCAACCCTGTCAAGGTACGCCCAATATTTTACAAATCCAACGCGGACGCGGACTAGGTCTACGCGGAAGCCACGCTCGTCTTCCCGCTGCTTGTGGCCGAGACGTTTGCCAAGAACTATGCGTCGACAAGCCAATAACGCGTTCGGCATCAATAAAAACACGGAGAAATAATCGACCCTATATGGTGGCGGTGTGCAGCACGGGGAGGGACATGGTGTGCCGGAGCTCGGGATGCGGCAACGTCGCTGGACGAGGTCGCGCGTCTTTCGTGTCGTCCATGGTGCGAAGGCTGCGCAGCGTCGGCCGCGTCTCGGCATTGTCACAGCGAATGCCTACGGAATCGTGGGACTCTGCTCGGCACGCGAAGTGCGCACCGACACCGCGCGAGCAAATCGTGTCGGCTTGGTGCATCGCCTCTCCGTGCTCGTCTACGCTATGGTGACGCAGGTACCTCAAAGAAAGCGGTCTCGCGGACCTGTGACCTCAACGTACGGCGCGCTGGCCGTGTCTACTTCACCGATAAGATCCGCAAGCAGGTGCAGGCAGAGTGTAGCAGTACCTTGGAGGCTCTCGCGGTACATGGACCAAAGCAGGTAGAGGATTGCGAGGACAATGACGCCAATCATGCCAAAAAGAACATAAATGATGACGCGGACGAGGCTCGAACCCGAGGTAAAGACGTCGGCGGCCTCGAGGCCGCGCAAGAAGACACCCATGAAAGGCCGCAAAATGGCTGTTTGAACCCGGCGAAACGGCACCATTCGAACCGGTTCACTTTCTCACATGCTGTAGGGTGGAGCCACCAAGGGTACACGCTCTGGACAATAACTTCACAGTATCCTGCGTCATCTAGTGTGTGGACGGCCGCTGGACTGATTCAAGTGCATTGAGTTGGAGATTTTTGTTGTTGCCCCAATAACAGGCGAGAGCTGACATTGTACGAAGTCGATCACGGCGATGACGCGTCGGACTTGCCGAGAAGCTTGTCGACGACGTCGCCAATGGCAACCGAGAGGAGGGCGTACGGTGCACACATGCAAACACGAGGCAGAACACCGCGAAAGAACGCGCGGCCGCCTTCTGCTTTGTAGATCTGGCGTGCAGCGTCCCAGAACCCTCTGTACTGAAGGGCGAAGGGCTGCTGCGCCATGGGTACTACCGAGAGCGATTGCGTCTGGAGTCGCGTGCGAATGACGTCCATCGGTGTCGTGAGTGCACCCGCCTATTGGTTCAGATGATAAGTGTCCCGGACGAGAGGGAAACGTAGTTGAAGGACGTACAAAGGCAAGGCTACCGGCAGTCACGACATCCACTCCACGAGACGTTTGCGCTTCCTCTGGCATGCACATATAGCACGTCATCCATGCCATCATGCCCATCACGCTACATTTTCATGAGCCGCTGATGCTTGAGCGTCCTCGTACCCAAACGGAGCCATCATGGCGACGGACGTGGGGAGGCCGCGGTAGAAGCCACGGAGCCCCTCGTCTCGGAGAATCTAGGGAGCGAAACACTTGTGAGCGCAAAACGTGGTGCTCTTCTTGTAGTACCGAGCGCATGCAGTCGGTGGCGCTGGCATAGTGGCCGAGTTGCATGCGCTGCTTGACCACCTACGAAAAGTGAGCGATATGAACATCTCTACGACCGCGGCGTCGAGGACCTCCATGGGTGTCATCACGATCTCGTTGCCGAGCACCGTGATTGCTGCAAGGCTCGTGATGCGTGCCATGATATTTGCGTCGACGGTGCCGTCTTCGTTCTCGACTTTCATGTTGTCAAAGTCGGCGGCTTTGATGGCAGCGCACCCCAGCACCGTCGCGGGCAGCGTCGCTGCAAGCACTGGACTCATCCCTCGAAAGAGGCCTCGCGACGCCACGAGGCGTGAAAATGCCATCGGCGTAGTGAAGGCCGGACTGCACTGCTGGTACGTCTACCCAGAGAAGACTGCTGTGGAGGAATGTGTCGTCGGCGCGTCGGTCGTACCTTGAGCTTATCGAGAGGAAAGAGGGCGACAAGCGAAAGCATAGTGACAGCCGTTGAATCCACATAGCCCCACGTCTTCTTCTTCTTGTTCATTAGGGGCGGCGTCCGCGCCTCGGCGCTTGCATCGACGTCTGCCATGGCCAGTTGGTTTGTGCCATTTGGTCGGTCAAACGCGCCGTCAAGACACACATTCTCGAATGAGGATGCAAAGTGATGGTAGTCGACACCTCGTTGGCCAATCAGCGCTCCGCCGGCTGTCGTGTCGCCACGATCTGCACAGGAAGGATCGCTCCAAGCCACAGACGACCCCTTGGTAACGTCACGCGTGGCAGACACATACCCACGCACGTGCTGCTCGAGTTCTTGTCGAGCGGACATTGCAAGGGCCGCTACAAGTATATGGTACGGGGGCCAAAAGTTGCAATCGGCAGCGCAGCAGTATCCTCATTCACTTGCCGAGTGGGCGTCTGTGGTGTCTGTGGGAGATCTCAAGTGCTACGACACTAGTTCAAGCGATATATCCCTCGGGTGGTGTCAACAACGCATCCCTATGCTGATGCTGACAGAATACATGGCGTACTGGGGGTGGTTTGTGTTCCCACTCCTATTCCATTGTATCATTGGAACAGAGGAGCGTTGATGAGCAGATGACAAATATGTACACAAAGGGCAACCTTGTCGCTGCTGTGGCGCGTCATAACGAGTGACGCAGTTGAGATCCGCGGCCAGAAAGGCGCCAATCGCCATCTGCTGTGCCGCATCGGATTGGATGAAAATACCATTCTTTATGGCCAATGACAAGGGACGCGATACTTTCGGGATCTTGGCCAAGGGACGATGACGTCGTACGCAGCATGGGAGAAGTACGACGTCGAAAAGGTCATGCAGCAGATGGAAGAGGAAGAGAAGAAGGAGCGCCAGCAGAGCCAAGCGCAAGACTACGAGAAGAAGAAGGTCCATGTCGTCGCGGACGCGGGCGACTCGGCCGAGGTACTGGCGACCAAGGCAGCGCTCGCGGCGCTCAAGGCCAAGAAGGCCGCTGCGCGCGCGCCTAGCGCCGGGCCGTCGCCACCCACGTCCTTCAACAAAGTGCAAGAGCTCGAGCGGCAGGCGTCGCTCCTGCAGCGCAAGAGCGTTGCGATCCAAACGGCCATGACGGCCCGAGGCAAAGCCGATGCGCTGCTCAAGAAAAATCATGCGGCCGCCGCCATCGACGAGTACAAACACGTTCTCAGCGCCATGGACGACCTCGATGCCATCATTCCGCAGCTGCAGCTTTCCGAAGAGGTCTTCGAGGCCAACAAGCCTGCGGAGAAGGACGTGTGCACGGACCACCACGACTGTTCGTGCCACGAGCCCGAGAAGGCGGCGCCAGTCGTCGTCCAGCCGCTGCCCAAGAGCAGCGATCTCAAGGGCATTGCACACATGCTTCGTATCGACGCACTCCTCGGCCTTGGCAAGTGCGAGCTCGAGCGCTGCCACTTTGGCGCGGCCTCGGAGCATCTCAAGCTCGCACTGCTCCAAGATGGCAACCACCTCGAGGCTTGGCGCCTTCGTGGCACCGCGTTCATGTCGATGGGTACGCTCTCTTCTTTGTGGCGGCAACCGACCTTGCGTGTGTTTTAGGGGCGACCTTGATCGGCATGTTGCATTTGAACAAGGTCGTGCTAATGGTACATGGACCCATTGTTCTTCCTATCGCTCTTCTTGCCATACCATGTCTTATCGGTAGGAAGGGTCCGACTCGGGCGATGGCAGCAAGCAGCTCGCCGAGGTCGAAGACGAACTCGTCCAGGACTGCGTCAGCGAAGGTCCGTCGATCTCTCCATTCACAAGAAAGCGTCACCGTTGTCCTAGACGAGGTATATACGGCAGCGATGCAGTACCTCCAGCGTCCGACGCACAAGGAGACGATCGAGCGCATGGTGTTGCTGCGAGAAGAAGCCGATGTGATCATGCTGGAGGGGTTTTACGCCTACTCGAACCAAAAGTACCAGGCGATTTTGGACACGCTCGAGGCGTTGCCGTGGTCGCACCCGGCCCTCCTTGACGTACGTTGTCCCTTCATTCGCAGCATACCGACGCTTCTCTAGCTTCGCTGCGCCTGCCATGCCAGCATTGCGGGCGGGCTCTTTGAGATGAAGAAGCAGTTTCCACTTGCGATTCGGCACTGCGAGGCCGTCTTGACGCACCAGCCTCTTCACACGGCGATGATTTACCGCCTCGGGCAGTGCTATCGCCAGACAAATCAGTTTGAACTCGCGGCCACGATGTTGCAACGTGCGCTGGCGTCGCTCGAGCCCGCGTCACCGGGCCAACGGCTGGTGCTGGACGAGCTCGAACGCAACGCGTTTGATCGATCGGAGCTCGATATTGAGTACATTAAGCGGGTTGAGGGCCAGAGCTCCGAGCCTTAAAAGCCTGTGTATAGCTCTTCATATGGTACGTGGCGTGGAAATAGACCTTGATCTTGCAGTCACGGGAGACGTCTGGACTCGCCTTGGCGTTTGGACCACGGGTGTTGGAACTGTCTCTGTCGACGAACTTGTCTACCACACATCCTGGACGATCTCAAGATATGATGGTCGTCGATACGGTATGCAAAGGCTCTTGGACTGCCAATCTCAACGCATCTCCAAGTATCAAAACTTCTGCCTTTACACAGCGACAAAAGGCAGTCTAGGAGAGGCTGCCAAGCCAGCGCAATTGGAGAAACATTGACAATGCTTTTATCATTTCCACATCATTTCCCTTGTAAAACCATGTCAGCAAATTGCTCATTTACGAAAATCTCGGGTCGAGCGCCGTAGTCCGAGTCCAAGGACAATACTGTCGTGGCCGTCCTTGGACCAGGTCGCAGGGAGATGCCGAAAGGTTACTGCGGCCGATTCGGCTGCTCGCCTCGGCCCGAGGTCTTCTCTTGTAGGTAGTGCATACAGGTACTATAGCTATTGTCGGGTCGTAGTCCGAGTTCCAAGGATGACTGTCGTGGCTGTCGGCTGATTCGGCTGCTCGCCTCGGCCCGAGGTGCCATATCTTATCGTTTGTGACTAGGTGTTGAGTGATCCAGGTAAAGGTAAGCAGCGCACCTCCCGCCCTCCACGACTGCCATATCGCCAGTATATGTGGCCATATCGACATGAGCTCTGCGTTGCATTCAAGGGCTATGTGTGTAAGCACGTAGTCCGCGTCATGGCTTCCTGTAGGATTGACCACGTATTGACGTTGTGCATGCGAGCCTTTGTACGCGGCTGTAGTGGGTGCGACGGCCGCAAGTCGGCTCCGTAGATGTCATCCTCCTGGTATTGTGCCCCGTGGTCCACGGGGCACAATCAAATACCATGGCCTTGGCGATCCAGTCGCGCAGCTCTGGGTCTTGGATCTCGTTGTACGACAGCTCGATCCGTGGCCACAGACGCACGTAGTTGGGGTACTTGTCGTCCGCCGGGACCACGAGGCGCCGGGTGTGCACCGCGCAGTAGAGCTGTCGGAGCGCGGGCAATGGTTCCGAGAGCCACTCGGTTGTCAGCGCTTGCAGAAACGAGAGCAGGTCCTTGGCCGTTGCGATGAGCATGGCCACGCGCTGAATGAGCTCGGGCATGAGGACCACGCTCACTTTGGCCGCTTCCATCGCCAAAAGTGGTGTGATTCTAGTCTGGTTGAACGTTCCCGCCCGGCTTGCATGGTTGTTGATTGGTCTAAACTCGGAATGCCCGACCACCCCATGACGTGGCATTACAAAACGACTCCGCCGACCCTCCATCGTCTCGAACAGTGCTTTCGCCAGACATGTCAGCTTGAACTTGCGGCCACAATGCTGCTACGTGCACTGGTGTCGCTCGAGCCCGCGTCGTCGGGCCGACGGCTCGTGCTTGACGAGCTCTAACACAACGCGTTTGATCGATCGGAGCTTGATATCAAGTACATTAAGCGGTTCGGGGCTCCGAGCCCCGAGCCTTAAAGCGCCTTTGTGTACTTGACTGCGGATTCCGCTGGACGCACGCCCTTCATCGGACACGTCGCGTGGAAGTGGACCTCGACCTTGCAGTAGCGGCAGACCTCGGGGCACGCCTTGGCTTCGTGGCCGCGCGTGTCGCAGTTGTAGCACTTCTTTGCCGGCTAGACATATAAGATACGATCGAGTTGCGCGAGTGTTTCAGCACAGAAGGACGTACCCAAGTCGGCAGGACGCCGGCCGCAACGTCTTCAGCGACCTTGCGCTTGTGGGCCTCTCGGTTCTTCCGCTTGCGCTTCTGACCTTGCTCCTTCTGGGAGCGGAGGAGACGCTGGCGGTTCGGCTTCGCCGAGTTGGACAACGCAAAGCTGGACTTTCTCGAGCTTCGAGCGGAGCTTTGCCAAGGGCCGGCGATCAAGCAACTCGCTCTCCAGGTCAAGCACGCGCAGATTTATTACGAGAACGCACAGCTCCGCTTGGACAACGCAAAGCTCGACTTTCTCGAGCTTCGAGCGGAGCTTTGCGTTGTCCAAGCGGAGCTGTGCGTTCTCGTAATAAATCTGCGCGTGCTTGACCTTGAGAGCGAGTTGCTTGATCGCCGGCCCTTGGCCTTGCTTTCTGGCCTTGTCCACGCCGCCTGTCTTCAACTTCTGCGTCGCAGGGCCCGTTGGCACGTCGTCCTTTCATCGCACCAGGATTTTGTTCGATTTGGGGATGAGGAGGCACGTACGCTTGGCATGGTGCGCTGCGCTTCTGCCTCTTGATGCTCACCTCTCTGGCCCGGGACGTCGCTAATGGCCGCTTCGGTGTACGCCAGACTGGGGCAATCGATGCGGGTTGCCCCTGGTACTTGGCCGGGAGGAGCAAGAGGCGCAGACCGAGGCGCCACGTCACGAGGCTGAGCTCGAGACCGTGCTACGTGCGCGGCCAGTCGGGCGTTGCGGGGACGATGACGTCGACAAGCACCGTGGAAGAGTCGCCGTGGAGACCTCGGTACGCTTCAAGGAGGTTGACGAGCTGCTTCCATGGCGGCGAGGTTGCAAAGTGGCCGTGGACCCGGAGCGAAGCTTCAATGTCCACTGGTAGCTCATAGACGTGGAGCTGCGTGAGCGCCTCGGCGAGCGCGAGGCCATGCGCTTCGTCTGGCCACGACGCGTTCTTCGGTACTTCAAACTCGGTATGGACGTGGTCATAGTCGTATGTCTTGCAGTACGTAGCGAGGGTGTCGGTCACGGCAGCCACCGGGAGGCGCCGGCGCTTTCGGTCCACGAGGCCATAGAGGTCGGTGGCCGACAACCAGTTGACCTTGAAGCCGAGGTTGTGCAACGAGTCCCATAGCTTGGGCGGGGCGACGGTGACGCGTCCGTGCAACGCAAAGATGAACGAGCCCAGACGCTTCCCGTGCAGCGCCGATGGCCATGCGTCGGTCGTCGGTACCTTGAAGACGCGTGGCACGGCACAGTTGCCATGGAGCTTTCGGAAGCGCGCGAGCGAGTCGAGCATCTCGTCCCACGCCCACGTCTGGACCATAGGTGCCACGAGCCACACTGCAGCACAGAGAGATTCTCTGCAACGTTCGAACGTTCAAGGTCGAGCAACGGCGCGTTCAAACTGCGTTAAACCCACGTGGCACCGCGTCGATCGGATGCAAAAATGAATCCAGATCGTGCGACCGTGGCTACAAAGAGCGAGTACACGTTCTTATGTCGCTTTTAAATGATTTTCACGTGGCATTTGGTGAAGAACGCTGCGTGGTGTTGGATTTGTTGATGACGTGGCACGCCACACATTTTTCACGTGGGGAGAATCCCACACTATGAAAACCACGCGAAACGAGGAGGTCCGGCAACTCAGACGCGTCGCTTGGCTTGTTACCGCTGCAAGTGGACTGCACAAGCAACGAGTACGCTCTGTGGGAATGAGCAATGGGCATAGTGTGAACCTAGCCCGAGTCAACACTACTAGGCCGGGACAAGGCGGTGTGCCTTTGCATGTTTAGTCTCACGGGGAAATCCCAAAAAAAAAGGGGGAATCCTAGTGATATGGGACGGTACAGCCTTTGGCAGTAGTCGATAGACGCAATAGACGTAGCTTGGCTGCCACTTTCCGTTGTGCGCAATACGCTGCTCGAGGCTGATGCCATCGATGGTCGCAGTGGCCTCTTGCCGCCCGACGCCAGCGTCCGTGACAGCGGCGACACGACGACGACGTTTCTCATGGCGCTCGAAATGCCAAGCTCTGTGCTCATCCACCAGCTCGCACTCTTCCAGCACCTCAAGCCGAAACTTAATCCTGTCGACTTGAAGGACGTGCTCAAGGTAATAGCCGTCGACCTGGAGCGATGCGCCTAACGACCCCTCATGTCTAGTGGTACATCATGCCCGTTTTCGCGTCCTACTTGGGCGATGCGACGTACGACGCAACGAGCGACCTCACGGTGCACCTGCTGTTTGGCTACCCGCTCTCGGCAACCGAGGAGATGCAGCTGCCGTCCCTTCGCGTCCGTTGCCCTCTCCATCCTGCTCTCCATCGTATCCTGGTCGTCATCAAGCGTTAGGACACGATCATGCAAAACAAGAAGCGCAAGCTCGTAATCGACGGCTTTGATGCTGTCTCCCGGGCGCTGCACGACCCGTGTACGCTGCGGGTCGGTTCCTTGAGTACATGCGCGGTCTTAGCCAAACGCTTTGGTTCCTACATGAAGACAACCTTCCCGAGTGCTTATCGTTCCGTCGCGTAGTGTTCCTCGACGGCGAGTGCATGGACGACTCGTTTGTCGCGACATCATCGCGCCCGAGTTCGGCGCCAAGTCGTACAAGTATCACAGCTACCGTGTAGCGCACGCCGCCCGAGCCTCCAACGAAGGCTACCACGCGAACTCGACGCTCGGTACGATTGCCTATACGTGCTGCGCATCATTTGCCGCGATCAAAGCGCTGGTCAAACTCTCTCCAGCAGTTTGTATGGGAGGGCTTCCTGGCCAACGGGATGGGCGGCCTCCAACACCCAAGCTGCTTGCGATGCGCTTCGTCTCGATGGTCGTCGCTGCGCTTATCATCTCGGACGACGACCGCCGCGAACTCTCGCACGACTTGACGCTCTGGAAAAAGACGTTTGGCCACAACGACCACGCATGCGCAGCGATAAAGCGAGATACCTTGACGGCCGACGAACTCTTCCGGCGCTTGAAGGCGGCTAAATGTCGTCAACGTTTAGCCACTTGACCAAGCATGCGATACTCAGAGACAACGAGTTTGCGCGGCTCGTGTCGACGCGACGAGCTCGTGCGACTGGCCGCTGAGCTCCGTTCTATAGTCGTGTGTCGCGCTGCCGGCGGCGCTGCACACCGAAGGCAATCGCGACGACCTCGACGATGTGCTCACGCACTGCGACGACCATTGGTGCGAGCAGCAAAGTCGATGATTTCCTCCACGTCAAAGTCGCAAGGCATGTCGTGCAAACAGTTGCAATGCTCGTGTCGAGGCGACAGATATATAGTTCGTAAATTACCAACTTCGCCGCGGCCGACAAGACGTACGCATTGCGGCCAAGTGCAGCAGCTGCAAGGCAAGGACAACGCGTCGCCCTAGACCTGGTTCAAAGGTGTCGACAACGAGAGTCAATACAAGAATTTTCGTTCCACGGGCACATTGTTTCGGTCACTCTGCCAGAGCGCGGCCGCTGCGACAAGCTCTAAAGATGTTACGCCCAAGCACCTTGCACGTTCCTTTTAAAGCGCCTTTGTGTACTTGACTGCGGATTCCGCTGGACGCACGCCCTTCATCGGACACGTCGCGTGGAAGTGGACCTCGACCTTGCAGTAGCGGCAGACCTCGGGGCACGCCTTGGCTTCGTGGCCGCGCGTGTCGCAGTTGTAGCACTTCTTTGCCGGCTAGACATGTAAGATACGATCGAGTTGCGCGAGTGTTTCAGCACAGAAGGACGTACCCAAGTCGGCAGGACGCCGGCCGCAACGTCTTCAGCGACCTTGCGCTTGTGGGCCTCTCGGTTCTCCCGCTTGCGCTTCTGACCTTGCTCCTTCTGGGAGCGGAGGAGACGCTGGCGCTCCTTCTCGGCTTCGCTCATCGGCGCTCGGTCGAGCTGGCGGTTCGGGTCCGACTTGTGCGTCTCGAGGATCGTGTCGTGCACGAGGTTGAAGTAGTACAAGATCTCCGAGACGTCGTCGGTGGACGTCAGCGCCAAGTTGCGTGCGTGCATTGCCGCCGTGTACTCTTCGAGCATCAAGTAGACAGCTACCGCATCCTCGCTTGAGCTATGCAGCCAGTAGGACACTTATACCTTCGATCGTCGAGACACAGCCATCGCCGCTCGAGTGGTAGCGCCAGAACTTGCTGTGAAGCGGTGGCTTGGCGAGCTTGACGGTGCGGAGGTGCGAGAGGCTCTTGTCGTTCAAGATTGCCGGGCCTTTCTGCCACGGACAGTCGATGAAGATGAGTGTCTCGAGCTGATCGAGGTCCTCGAGCTCGTCCAGCACAAACGCGTCGTTGGACGGATAGACAACGACGGCCTTGGCTGGATCGTACACTGGCGACGCGCCGTCTTTGTACGGGAATGGGATGATGTGGATGTCCTCGGGCGCGACGACCTTGCCCTGCGGCGCCGTGCTCTTCTTGATCTTGTCGTGGAAGATGACGTCGATGGTGACCGGGAGCTTGATGCGCGGAACGTGGACATCGGACGGCGCGCCAAGGCTGAGAAAGCACGTCGCGCAGTAGAACTTGCTGCTCTTCTTGCACGTCGGGCAGACCTCGCGCGTCCAGCCGGCCACTGTCGCCATGCTGCCAATTGAAACTGAACCATCCGGATCAAATGTGTCACACTATTTGCGTCATTGCTCGATGGCCTTGGGCAGCTCTCTGCAAGGCCGGCATCCTGCGACGATGTCGCCAAGTAAATGTCTTTTGCCAAAAGCATGTCCTATGACGCCGATATAGCGATGTGCCGCAACGACGATCGGAGCGTCGTAGCGCGTGCATACCGCACTAGGTACAATGGTACACTAAGTATGCTTTACGGATATAGTGTGTAGAAAGGAGCCAAGTGCAAACTCGTTTTAGAAGCGGCAGTATGCCGGAGGACAAGACCATCTACTTTGTGCGCCATGGCGAGTCGACCTTTAACGAGTGGCGCACGCGCAGCCTCTGGACGTTCTCGTGGATCTTTGTCAAGGACCCGATGATCATCGACGCTCCGCTGAGCCAAAAAGGCGAGCTGCAGGTAAGCGCCTACCTCGTCGAGCGTCGCCTGAGCTGTGCACTAGGTACAGCAGCTGCATGACGAGATCCAACAAAAGAAGCTTCACGAATCCATTCAACTCGTACGCTAAAATGTATCTACATTGCTCTCATCTTGGTCGTAGGTAATCACAAGCCCTCTGACGCGTGCGATTCAGACGGCGCTCGGCGGCTTTGAAGGCAGTAGCCTTCCGTTCCAAGGTTTCTTCCTTCGCCCTTGCATTCGGCTGATCAGTCGCGTGCTTGTGTAGTCCATGCGAGCTGCCGCGAGATGCTTGACACCGCCTGCGATGTCGGTCGCCAGCCATCAGGTCGGTACGTCAGTTGCATTGCGAAATCTCATGCATGCCATAGAGTTAGCAGAGTCGTTTGCGGACAGAGGCATTGACTTCACGCATTTGCGCGAGTATTGGTGGCTACCGACGACACCGGCGACACCAAAGCCGACACCGACGACGCCCAAGGACGTAGCGCCGCTTCGCGAGACGTCGGCGGACGTTGATCGCCGCATTTTGGAGCTACTGCGTCATCTGAACGAGCTGCAAGAGACGCACATTGCAGTCGTGTGCCACAGCAGCTTCATCAAGCGCGCGACCAAGGCCTCTCGCAAGCTTGCCAACTGCGAGATCCACGCAATCTCACTGCGGGAATTGCAGCGTCTTCATGCCCCATCGGCGTAGTCCATCGACCATCGTATCAACAAAAAGAAATCAAATGCTGGTCTGCACGATGCCACAGCGTACTATCCGACATCACTACAGTAGTATCCGCATCGCTGAAGCTACAAGGATGACGCTAAGCCACCGCGGCGAGCCTACCGCGGCGGTGTTGCAGTGGGGAGCCGTGTTGGTTTCTATGCAACATCGCCTTGCATGGCTGAGAAAAAGGTACATTTCGCGCCTACTGGTGCGATACTATAACGTTAGCATTGCAATGATAGTCATTCTTCTAAACGAGCCGCTCCTACAGCTCCTCCGTGAATACCGCGTGCGTTCGCTTGGCAAGCATTCCCAACCTGGCCGCCAAACGATTTCACTTCCATCTATTCAAATCCGGATACGCACAAGCAGCACAACCGAGTGATGGTACAGACCAGCATTCTCGTCTGGGTGTCCTTTCTGGACCATTCCCGGAACCTCGATGCTGCTGCGAACGCTTCAGCGCGCCTCGACCGTGCGTCTGGCGTCGGCTGCGCCGCTGCGCCCGAGCCTCGCCAGCGCGCAGACAACCGTGCGCTACATCTTCTCGTCGGCGGCCAAGAAGAAGGACCCGTACAACCTGCTCAACGTGCCTCGGACCGCGACGGCCAAGGACATCAAGCTCGCCTACTTTCGCGAAGCCAAAAAGTGCCATCCCGACCTCAACCCGAACGACGCGCAAGCAACCATCAAGTTTCGCGGTCTCACCGAAGCGTACGAGATCCTGAGCGACCCGACGCGGCGCGCCGAGCTCGACAGCGCCGGCAGTTCGTCGCGCTTTTGGCAGCAGACGTCGTCGCCGCCGCCACCGCACCATGAAGAAGAGGTCTTTAGCTCCGTGCTGGGCGATGCGACGATCGTCAAAGACGCGTTCCAGCTCTACGTGCGCGATCTCCACGGCGAGTTTGTGTTTGCGCGCGAGTCGGCGGCGCGCGGCGAGTGGCGCAACGTGTGGCAGGTGGTCGTCAAGCGCAAGGGCCTCGTCTTTGGCGTGCTCATG